TTGTTCACAAGTGACGGGAGAAGGGAGCGGGAGATCAACAGACGGATTGGTGCAGCGGCCACAGTGATGCAGACACTGTACCGATCTGTTGTGGTTAACAGAGAGATGAGTGTAAAAGCAAAGCTCTCAATTTACTGGTCGATTTACGTCCCTACCCACACCTATGGTCACGAGCTTCGAGTAATGACCGAAAGAATGAGATCTCGAATACAAGCGGCAGAAATGGGCTTCTTCCAAAGGGTGGCTGGCCTCTCCCTTAGAGATAGGGTGAGAAATTCGGCGATTTGGGAGGGGCTCAAAGTAGAGCCGCTTCTCCTCGAGATCGAAAGAAGCCAGCTGAGGTGAGTCGGGCACCTGACAAAGATGCCTCCTAGGCACCTCCTGGGTGAGGTTTTATGGGCATGTCCCACCAGGAAGAAGCCCCGGGGCAGACCCAGGACACGCTGGAGAGGTTATATCTCTCGGCTGCCCTGGGAATGCCTTGTTGTTCCCCCAGACAAGCTGGAGGAGGAAGGTCTGGGCTTCTCTGCTTGGGCTTCTGCCCCAGATAAGCTGAACAAAATGGATGGAGAGATGAATGGATATTTGGTATTTGAACTAATACAAAACATCTAAACATGAAATATACCTATCAGACACATCCACCAGGTTCGCACCAGCCCCTGAGCATGCCTGCTTCGCCTCTTCAAAGGTTTTTTTCTCAGCTCCGATGTTATAACAGTATGAACCAAACCTGATTGATCCCTAAAAAAAGGGGGAAAAAAAGACGAATAAAGGCTTTTCTGTTAAATTGCACCTGTATTTAAAGGAGAGGACATAACTCACAAGAGTGCACCCTTTGTTGACTTCTGCTAGACTGCCTCCAATTGGTTTAGCCGAGGCCTTCTTCTTGCACATATATCCATGCAACTTCTCACAAGTGTGATCGGCCCACTTACCATCCTGTATAAGAAATACAGAGGGGTCTTAGAGTTGTAACTTTATAACAGAATTGATTGTGGTTTTGCAAGAATTTGTGCTACCTTTCCTTGAATCAGGACACAGTCCTCTTGGAAGCTGGTGAGATGAGAGGGCTCATCACTCTGCCACTGGGTAAAGGTGACATGTGAGTGATCGGACCATTCAAAGAGCATCTGGTTCTTTTGGTCATTCATGCCAATCCAGAGCACATCTGTCGGCACTGAGGTTTGAAGTATATAGAGACGGAAAGTGGTCATATATGTCTCCTTACTCTTTCAGGCTGTTTTTATAATAGAATTGTTTAATGAACGTCACAAATTTATTTATTTAGTCTGGTTTGGAGGTGCTGCCAGCTATAGTTTATTACAAAGCTCATACTGTACAACCCAGCTAATGCTATGCTAAGCTAATTAGCTCAAGGCTAGTTTCACATTTTCTCAAAATGTAAAATTATTTCTTTTCATTTATAGGTAGGTAGGTAATAGGTAGGCCTATTCCACGTCACGATAGAGTACTTACTTTCTGATATTTCAGTACTTTAGCAGGATATTGTTATTTGTTGTTATCTTCTTGTACACTTACTGTATCCAGATTGAGAAATAATGAAGCTCTGCTCCTCTATGTTATGTATGCTGGCAAGATCTCCTCCTTCTTTGCGGCATGCAGCTAAAGCATTACTCCACATCTCTGCAGTCCTCACCAGATAGTAGCAGTTTCCTGCATAGTGAACCCAGTGATTGGGGCAAAAGCCAGGCTGTTTGGCTGTGGACAGAGACCAGAAGGGCTAAGAACAAACTCTTTCTAGGTTTGTATTGTAAAGATATGGACTCATAATAAATGGAAATTTACTCGATGGTGGGGGCAGACTGGTAGCGTTTCCTTTACGACAAACGTAACCAAGTTTCTTGCTGCACACACTGCTCTCCCACTTTGAGGCCTTTGCAGCATTTAGGGTTGCACAGTTTGACCCAGAGTTTGATGATGGATGACCTGTGGGAAGCACAGGTTAGTTAATGCTAAATATAAAAGGGTGTACTTTTGAAGTACTCCAGGTATTTAAAAAACGCACACAATTCCATGACATATACCAAGACATACTAACCTGGGGCCCAGTTTAAATATCTGAAAGGGTTTCCGTTGCTCCACTGCCATCCACTATCAAAATCCAAGCTGTTCAGCCCAATCCACAGAGATGAGCCCAAATGATTTGCTAACCCTGTGTCAACACATGCATTTGAAATTAATGTATCATCAGCAATATAACACAGATGATAGAAGGCTGATTATGTACCTGAAATGTATGACTGCTCATGCAGCTCTACGATGCTGAGGAGGTCGGCTCCCTGCTGCTGGCAGCTCTTCCTGGCCTGATACCAAGTCAACACTGACTGTGCGTTTAACTGATACTGAACCCCTGTGACAGGGTCAGTGATCCAGTTGGAGGATGCTAGATTATGGTAAAGACACAAAGCGCTATAAATTATTACACAGCTGGAAATTACTTACATCAGGAAGTTAAATTCATTGAACGCTCCCTGACTTCAGTACACAGTGAAGGATTCAGTTTCTTTTATTACCCTGCATGGTTTGAATATGGACTGAAGATTGGGTGCTATCACAATTTAAAACATGTCTGTTTTGATGACATGTTGATCTATAACAGTGATTCCCGAAGTGTGAGCTGGGGGGCCCTGGGGGGCCCTGGTGGGCGGTGAAGGTACTGCAGGTGGTGCTGCAGTAATAAGAGAAATTCAGTTTGAAATTACAAGTATATGCAATTACATATGTATATAAATGTATTTATTTAAATTAAGGTTAATTAAAATTAGTAATAAGAGGTGGTTAGTTTGTGATATTATAGTACTGAGGTTTGTGTGGCAGGTGGGCCTTAACACTGATTGGGCAACATTAGCAATTTATAGCCAACAGCCTGTGTTGTTTATGCTTTTTGAATAACATTTTCAAAGAAATACACTGATTTTTCTTGTATTTTGATTAGAAGAAAGATTAAGGTGGGCCCCATGGGAGTCTGTGGTTTTTAGGTGGGCCACAGCAGTCTTAACTTTGGGAATAGCTGATATACAGGAACAGAAAGTATCAATAAGAATTTCAAAACTTAAAGGAAGAAAGTATATAAAGTATGTAATTTAAGAAACATCTTCTACAGCCTCAGATGGGACGGAACTCTGACTTTATAAAGCAGCCTGGTAAAGGGAGATCCCATTATTTTGCTGTTGCTTTCCTGCCTCAGTTTAAGAGCAGTGCCAGGGGAAACTTAAGCCTGTGAAAAGAGGAAACAGAGGACAGTGCTGTGTTGACAGTCCATGAGAGGAAAAGGTCAGAGAGGGTCAGAAAACGGGCCTGCAGCACTTAATTCTTCATAAAAAACAAAGTTTTTGTGCATGATTTAATAAAAGTAACCATGGAGGACTTCCTGTCTTCATATTATAGATGTAAAGTGGACTGGATCAGACCATCTTTCAGGTTAAAGAGATTTTTCATTCCTTACCTCTGGTTGGACAAAGTCCCCATTTTCCCACTTTATCATAATCTCTCTCTGTGGCACACCACAGCTGTCCATCCGTACGACCGTCTTTAGTGCATTCGGCGTACCACTTCTCATGGAACTTAAAAGGGAACTGACAAGCGGTTCCAAAAGCATTTCCTCCTAGTGTGAATATCTCTGCGGAGACACAAATAATGGAGACGTGCAGTCATTTCACCAGCATGTGATTGATAATTATGAGAGTTTGCCTCCCAACTTCTTAGGGTTCTTTTCTTAAGCTTTTAGAACTTCATTCAATTGATTTCAGCCAATTTACCCTCAAGTTTGTTTATTGATGCTGGGTGAGAAGGAGTAGTGTTCGGTTTCTTGCCCTGGTTAAAGTCAGTCATTTAAATTTAGAAAATGAACTTGTGCTTGTAATGGACACATGCCCATGATGAAAAGGGGTTTTTCCCAAAACACTCCAGAATGTTGGGAAGTGCTGCAAACGTTGCAAATGGTAAGTACGAATCACTGCAAATCACTCCAAACCAAAAGTACATTAAAGTACACAAACTCATACTTGTACTTTGCAAATAGGTTATCAGGTGTGATAAATGAGTCTAAAGTTTTAGCTTGACCTGAAAGTGATGGTGGATGTTAAAACTTAATACAGCTTTTGGTTGTTTGAGTTACCAAGCTTTAAAAAGTGTGGGTTTTTCACCCATCCACCATGGATTCCAGTTATACAGTTGAGACTTGCTGCCTATGCTGTGCACAGAGAGTGCCTTCATAAGGACTGCTTATTATCTGTGCTGCACTGACAGTTATGCAGTCTCACCAGCGATCCCTGACTGTGTTCACTTTTAGTAAGAACAGCAAGTTTCTCAACAGCTATGCTGTAACCAGCTCCCCTCTAGTCCAAGAAAATCTTTCTAAAAATTATACCTGCAGTTGAAAACATAATTTCGTAATGCTTAAATCCTCAAATGCTACACTCCAAACAACGACATACTCTAACATGTGCTAAAACATTCATACTCTGTCCAAATATTCAAAAAGAAGGGGGAAAGAATAAGAACTATGTTACTTTCCCTAGACAACTACAAAATCCCCAATAAATATTATTATAGCCAAGCCAAGTTTCGTACTCAGATCAGATAAAAAAAACAACCTTCCACATACTTTAAGATATTTAGATGGTAAATGTAATTTCATCAGTAGCCATAGCACTTTTATAACCTAGTTTGCTTTGTACAGATTGTAATATTTTGCATTTGTAATTTGAATGGAAGTAAGAAAAATTTTATTGTACTTTACAAATTCCAAAAACAACAACTTTAAAGCATGCACTGTTCAAGGACCTTCTAAAACACATTTCTAAACTTTCTACAAAGCTAAAGCAGACTCAGGTTTAGCTATCTTTGTAGGCTCGTGTGCCCATCATTCCTACCTTGATATCCCTTTGAACAGAGGTCCCCCTGAGTGCCATATATCCTCCAGCGACTCCAGATCCCAGAACCTTTGTAGATCATGACGCTTTTCTCATTGCGGTTGCCCCAGTTTAAGTGCAGGTCCTGGTCTTTTAGGCCAAAGAGGGTATCGTTCTTACACTGCCAATGCTGGAGGTCATTGCTCTCATCACATTCCACGAGCTGCACCTTCACCCAGTCTTTTATCGCTGTAGTACCCAAACACAGCTTAAGGGACAAACTGAGGAGACGAGACTCAGAGACCCATCGGAACTGTTGATCTTTGGCATGAGGATTACAAGCATCCACTGTTATAAAGGTGGCACTCGCCACCTTTACGCACTTGTTGTGATCTTCATTGAAAATCAGGAAGCTACTCGTGTCTGGAGCAGAGCAAAAAGAAAATTCAGCAACACATTCCCATGGGATATGTTTTTCAAATGAAGCCACAAGTGTATTAACCAACAAAAATGTTTCTGTGTTACATACCTATATCAGCGGTGATGCAGAAGACTTGGACAAGGACACAGAGGACCACAGCAAAATTTAAACAGGGCAACATTATCCTTGTGTAGTTTGCAGTTACTGTTGGACAAGGCTGTAGCAGAGATTTCCCGTCATGAGCAAAGGGGTCTGGTGTATACAAAGGTGTGTGACATGGAGCAACAGTGATCCAGAGACTCAGTGCCTTCCCTTTTTAATCAGACAGATGGATATCCTGTCACATGAGTAGTTACGCCTGGTCAAACTCCTGGAAGTTCCACAAGCTTTGCAGACCTTTTGGCAGGGTAGGCAGGAAGTAGGAAACAAACAATCTGACCTCTCCATTCAGCAAGAAAATGAAAGTCAACTTAAAGTGTCAGGCAAGACTCATAATGAAAGCAAAAGGGTTTGTTTGTTTGTTTTTTAAATATCACAAAGCACCCTTTTCAGGATTAATTCCCTTTATTGACTTCATCATTGACTTTAAACTGTTGTAAATAGACATTATGTGCTAAAAATGTGCCTGGAGCTTGAACCCTGAGAGCAGATTGCACTGTGCAAGCCTAAATTTAGATTCAAAGGGAGATTGAGAAGATGTATGTTTTTGCAGGATAGTACTATGAGGCTTTAGTTGAAGAGTAGAGCAATGACACCAATCAGAAGACAGAGAGGACAAGAGGAAATCCTGCTTCCTATTGGGGGAAATGAGGGGCACTTTGACCACTTTGGTTCCAAACTGCAGAAACACCAAGTTATGGTGCTTAGACCAATAGATCCAGATAAGTTTCTTAAATGTTAAAACGGAACTTCTGTCAGGAACACAATAGTCATACAGAATGAAGAATGACTGTGGTAGCTTTCCACTTTGCTCACTTGTCATGACACTGAATAAAGCTTTAAATGGTTTTTTTTAAAAATTAAAATAACCTGAACTTTACATTTACTATATGTCTTAATCCTTGGTTTATCTGATAAATCTGATTTTTTAATGCTGCTTGCCTCTGCTCTCAACCCTTTTTTGTTTTGCGTGCTCGTTCTGCTCTGTGTAGGCGACCAGGTCTTTGGTATCTACTGGCAGTAAGACTAGATTTTTGTGTAAGTATAAATTGTTGTCAGAGGTGGATTATCTCAGGCAGGGGTACATATCCTGTGTATTTGTTTATGGAAGAATATGAGGGCATCAAGTCCAAAATTAGTTCCAAATTATTATGCAAATTGTGTTTAACGGTAAAAAAGCACCTTTGCCACTTATTATAACATTGGAAGCGAAAAGGAGATGGATGAGACAGTAACAGGGCGATATTTTAAAGTATTTTGGTCACTCGCAGACAATGATCCGCGATCGCGTTGGCGACGCTATCAGCCTATAGCCGTTAGCTCTTAGCAGATGGCAAAATACGCTCTTCCCCCCTGCATCGGGATAATGCAGGGAAATACTAGTGTTTTCGTTATTTTAAAAATTAGTATCGTTACATTGAGTGGCAATGCAACGAGGGTTACAAAAGAAAACAATAGATTGATTGCGTCGGATCGTGCGTGGGATCGTGCATGTAGCGGTAGCTACTGTCGGGGTAGCTTCCGCTACAGAACATGACACATATCACGGTGAATCAGCGAGTTATGGTTTGTTCTGGTTTTATGAAGAACTTGTGTTGTTGCATTACCGTGCAAGTTGAGTGTTAGAAAAGAAAACTACAGATTTATTGCTCTTGCGATCGAACATGTGGTGACATGTCGACCGAACAAAGAACATGCGTCACGATGACGCAGCGAGTTAATTGTTGTTGGTTTGTTTATTATTCGATTTGAGGGTAAGAAAACATTTTATGTTGACTATTCTCACGTTCGGACAGGATTATTGCAATGAACGAAGGATATTTTGCCTGATAATTATTTATATCCTGCTGTAACTTTTCTGTATAAAGAACTAAGCCCTCCAACGTTTCAGGCGTAAAACGTCATAAAAAGAAGTGTTTGTAACTAAAAATAAAAATTGTGGAATACTATTTGTGCGTGATTTAGATCCCAGCCTGTGCTCCCGACACTGGGGAAACAAACTGGCCCGGAAGAGACCCCGCGGAACGACACCGGGACCCACCGCTGCAGACCGCTGTAAGCAGACCGCTCCAAGCAGCCGGCTGGAGGCAGCGGAAATCATATTCTTCCTCGATTCCCAACATAACCGCTCATGTCCATCCTTCTCAAATAAATGTTTTTCTGGTCCAAAGTGATCTTGTATTGTTATTAACATATTTTTGTAAGTTTATTTTAGAAAACAACGAGGTAATAAGCACTTAGTATGTGAAAACTAAAAACATAGTATACCGTTTTATTATAATTTACTATAGTTCTGCAAAAAAATAATGCTGGATCAAAACGAATGTTGGAGCCAATCTTTGACCCATCTAAAGGCTTAATTATAACAATAATCAAATATTACTTCAAATGTATTTTATGGAAAATATTTAGTTTTTTTGTTTTTTGGGGCTAAAAAAAACGGTGCGCTCATGTAATTAAACTGCGATTAAAAGGGTTAAAACCCCCGAAATATAATTAAAACTTGATATGAATATTTCAGGGAGAAGTAGTTTTAAAAGATTGGCTAATTTAAAGTGGAAAAAAA